GAAGATTTTGTGCTTCTTAATTTTGCTTTAATCATTTTAAATTTTTAATCTGCGAGTTCTTCTAGGGTTGCAGTCGGTCTGGGTTAGGTGGGGTTGAGGCCAACCTAGCCGGCTAGCCATAACCCAATCCAATTTGAAGTTGATTTCTGATTGAGTTGAGCCCCAGATGTCCTTTCTTCCATCCTTTTAAAACCTCTCAAATTCCTTTAGTCTTTGACTAAGAAACTTCAATTGAAATTTCATATTTTTCATCGATTTTATTGGTTTTTTTAATGTAAAAGTGATAAAAAGGAATGCTTCAAATGATTAGATTCTGCTATGAATTATAATACATCCCCTATTAAAAATCCAAAATTATGATATGCAGTCATAATAGAACATAAAATTATAGAATGAAAATCACTAATGACAACTTGTCATTAGAATTAGGGATTAAGTTATGTAGCAGGACTACAATATATATGTACAATAGCAATAGTAGAATCAAGTTCTGGTTGAGTTGGGGTTGGCCATCATCTTTCTTAAGAATATGGGTATGGTTATGGTTTTAGATATAATTTTCTTTATGCTTGTTAGGTAAATTCTTAGAAAATAAAATGGTGAATTTATTAAAATTAATTCTTTGCCCCAATGGCTTTGAAGATTCTGGATTATTGTTGCAAGTATTATGAGATGCTTACCCATAAATCATGCAATCTAACAAATTTGAGTACAGGAATTTTAGGTTTGTTGTTGAAGTTTTAATTTAAATTCTGTTGTTGTTGTTATAGTTAACTACTTTGCTAAGTCTCTTGGTGATTGCTTTGACACACATGATGAAAAGGTAGGGGATAATGGGTTACCGTGCCTTATGCTCTTGGTTGCTTTAAATTTCCGTAGGTGGAATTAAATGCTTCATTATCCATTTATTCATTTTTCATGAAAATCATATTTTTTAAAATATTTTCTATGAATTTCTAAATAGCATTAATGTAGGGTCTAAAGTTAATAGTATTTTCTATGAATTTTTAAATAATATTAATAGGTATTGTACTGATGAGGGGTAATTTGGCCGACAAGCACAAGGAGATGCGTTGTGAGTCCAAATCGTACACCTCAACTCCACGTGACATAGGACGGATGAAGTCGAGATGACCTCAATCATCCAGTTTGGCTTGCATTCCAATCTACAAGAGGCCAATAGGCCGCTCCTCGACTGGGCTGAACACATCACCTTAGGAAGACGAGCCAAGGATCTCAGAGACCAGCATGATCTCCCCAACCCAGGCAGGCGATATGTCGCCTGCACAGTACACATATCTCCGGTTCCCACATGATTCAAGGAGTTCATATATGGATCACCGCCAACGTGGAAGAAACACACTCGAAGATAATGGACCGATAAAGCCAGTCATTCCCAGGTATCTCAAACACAAAACATGGACCCTAACGCCTATAAAAGGGCCTCACTATTCTGCCAAAAGGTATGCACAATCTGTACAATTCACCCACTCACCTTTTGCTCTCAGTTCCTACTATTCTCATCATTGACTTAAACATTGGAGTGCCCAACCTGGGTTCAGCACCCTCGGGTACTTTAATTCTTTGTTTTCTGCAATTCAGTGGACTGACCTCACCATCCCGTCCGTCCGAATTATCCTCCAGCAAGGAGATCAGCAGATTCCTAGTACAATAATACCCTTATATAAAGGGAAAAATCTATGCTACCAGAGAGACATGGTATCAGAAGAGTTTTGACCAATCAAAACACGGTGAATATTGATGAAAGCCACCCGATTGGTCACCTCATTTATGATAACAATTGATTGGCTGTAAGCCTTTCCGATATTATGTCTTTTTGGTATCATAGTAGAACCCTAATAAAGAGACATTATTGTAAATCCTTATACTAGTAATTTATAACTACTAACTAACCTTTATTACCTTAGTTGTGACCAGTTATGTCACGTGACCCTTTGTTTTAGGTTTGTTGGCCGCCTCCTCATCCTCCTTTGAAGTCTTGAAAATATGTTTCTCTTATTTTAAATGAAACTTGAAACTATGTTTATCATGAAACTTTTATTAATTTTAATAGGTGAAAAATATTTACAATGAGATATTCATGAGACTTCTACAGAGTGGCATATTGACATTGAGGAATCTGTAAATATTGCCCAATAAAAATAAAATAAAATCTGTAAAGCATTCACTAAGAACAAGATCATTCACAAGGAATGTCATTTATTTTAGTCTGTGAATGGAAAGATCGGTACCAGGATTCGGTGAGTCACATAGTACAAATTCCCAGGGAAGCAGTGCATTCAGAGGAGATTTTACTCTAGAAAAATTCAAAAAATGCAAAGGTACACTGTAAGGTCGGGATTTGATTTCTTCATTTCCCATCTTTCTTCAGCATCCTCTCATAATAATGGCCGAAGTTGCAACATTATCATTTCAGATTTTCATGTGGCAAACTTGGTGGAATGATATCGAAACAAAAGACAAGATGATATTTTTGAACCAACAAGATCAATTGTGTGGGATATGCCAACCTGAAATGGAATTGTGGCAAAACCTTTTCTTTTTCTGGTTTGGTTATTTGCCCAAATTGGCATCAATCCAGAGGCTATTAAAAATCTCCATCTATCTCAGTTTGTTGCTGATTGGATGTATACTAATTAAGTAAACCTTCCAAATGAAATAAGGAACCTGTACATTGCTAAATTCTTCATTTTGTTTCAGACTTTCAGTTGATTTGGGATGTGGGGAACGAGAAAATACATGAGAATCGATTACTTCATCCAGCCCAATTAATTGAGAGGGCAGAGGATTTTATTATTCCTGTTTCAGAACCACCCCCAGTAACTAAAGCCCAAACAAGGATCTCCTCCATTCAAGCTACCCATATCTTGTTCTGTTCACTGATGGAGCTTTTATGCCCTCCTCGGGGACAGTTTACATTGGATATATTGTTGTTCTATCAAGGAATCTAACAACTATTTTTGTAAAAGGAAGAAGAACTCTCGCCGCATCTCCAGCCCAATCTGAATGGTTGGCTCTGATCGAATGATTGAAGAGAGCAGCTAGCCTAAGCATCAGATCTATACTAGTGTTTTGCAACTCTGCAGGAATGGTGGAAACTATTAATAGCTATATGGAAGCCCACTGGGAGAGTACTGCTCTGAATGTTTAATTTAAATTGATGCTTTTTTTGGAAAAAATAAAGGGTGGGGCAGGGTTTGCTATTATGTGCATTAAGGTGAAGTTTGAATGAGGCAACCCATACCAAATCCAACTTGTTGACATTACTAAACATTAAGGTGGTATTTAGTTTGTGATTATAAAAGAAGCTGGTATGGTTCTAAAATTGAACCAACTTTTTCAATAAGTAAAAATGCAGTTTTTAGCCATGCTTATATGTTGGGTTAACACCTGAGATTTGTGTTATGAACCAGACAATGTAATGCATTTTCTTTTACTCATGGTTCAGTTGGACCAGATATGTGAATATTGATTGAGTGAAATCATGAATTCATGGTGTGTATATTCATCTCTCACCATTTACTTTCATTGTTGAGCAACGTCTGTAGGCTCAAAACAGGATGCCATATATACTTGTATCAGTAAACCACATTGCCTGATTAAGATCATGAGAATGTTCAAAAAATGAAAGTTTTACCGGTTCTAGAAGCAGGGATTGTTTGGTTTTAGAACCACCCACAACTTTGGTGAAAGAATAAAACAAGATTTCTCACCTAAAATTTGATGGAACGCAAATAAAACCACAAACAGAAAACACCCTAGATCGGAACGGCCTTGGCTTTTTTGTTGAAGTGGGTGACAGGGTGAGGTGAGCATCTTGGGCTGAACTTATTTGTATCATTGTTGTTGTAAGTACATGTGGTTCACTATGTCTGTGATTGCAATCAAAGTATCAAATCGGAACCACACCGTTGCAGATCTGGGATGAGCCCATAACTCGTCACATACCCACGATAAGCTCAAAGACATCACAGACCTGCGATGCACTTAAGAACCACCGTGCATCTACAACAAGCCAAAACTACTCATGATGAAACAACCAGTCCATGACAGAGCAATTAGGCCAACACGTCAGATTAGCTCTGACGTCATCTATGCCATGTCAACACAGAAGACCCACGAAAAGAAGTAACGCACATGCCTTTTGGATCCTTCCCCCCTAGGCTTCGGGAGCTACACTTATAAAAAGGAGGAATGAACCAAAGCGAGGACACAATTCTATCAATTGGAAACCCCTATTCATCGTTCAAAGAGACCACCCCACCTACAGTTGTTGGTTCAATTTGGTTCGGACATCCTATCCTGATATCCTCTCATAAGCCAACCAACCATGCTCTTCCTGTAACTATAACGTAACCTAGGTTAGGGGTGTAGCAAAAGCAACGTTTTCGGCCTTCCTAGTATAATAATTTTGTCACAGTTGTTGTCTAGTTCGCTTTGAACTTAGCTATATAGAGTACACTGAATCTATGAGTTAGATTTAGATATAAGAGTAGCATGTTGAGAGTTCGGATCTCCTAACCACAAATGGATTGCTTGGATCTGTCAATGGTTGAATGACGTTTTTATTTTTTGATAATTCAACATAAGCTATAAGCTTTTCCTACTAAGGTGCTGTGTGATAACAAATGAAGTGGTGGTACAATAAAGATTATTGCTTTATCTTTAAGTTTTTAGGGAGGTTGTTGACTCTTTAATGGTTGAAGCTAAAGCTAAAGTTTGTAGACTAATACCACACCTTTCAATATTTTATTATTTAATTATGCTATTCACCAAAGGACAAAGCAACAAATCGTTCAATTAAGTAACTACATGGGTTGTTAAACAGCATCAAGCAATCAGGAATGCAGGATCTTGTCTTGCTCCCAAGATGAACATTGGCATACCTCCAATGCTTGCTTCCTTGTTCTATCTATTTCTGCACTCCAGTATGGAATTCAGAATGTAGTTACTGCACAAATTCCTAATGCTGACTAGAATTTAGAAAGCTAGCCTCGCTTCAAGGCCATTATTTACGTAATGGAAAAATAACAATACAGTCAACCTTGTATACTTTGTGAGTCCAACCAGACATGAAAAAGACTACAGCATGCATCCATCCAGATTCAGAATTATGAAAGCATGAAAAAGAAAATACAAGTAATCCAAAATCCACTGTGCAACGAACTTAACTATAGTCTCAACCATTCCAAGCAAGGGCAGAGTCCCCAACAAAATCGAGCTGGGTAGTAGTCCTTCAGGTACACCTCTCGGCTAAGCCCAATGATATAGAAACTGAAAGACTGGTTGCGACAGGCCATGGTGACGCGAGTAACTGGCACAACAGATATGGAATGCCTTTCACATATAACCCTTGCTGTGGGAGGAACAGGAGCCCTATCTGCAATGACATCGGAAGAGAACTTGTTGAGAAAGAACGAATCAGCAAAAAAGGCCGGTGTGCATTGGTATGCCTGTGTATTGCATAGTTCGACCCCTCTGGCCCGGTGAAAGACCTCATCTGGAACTGAGCCTGCACCACTTGTTGCACTCACTTTACGGGTCGAAAGTGTCCTCCTGCACAAGCAAAGAGTTACCATCATAAGCAAATTATACATGCATTTACAATTATAAACTCTTCCAACTACATTGACACATTTATCTGTACATCCATAGAGAGTTACACATATTTTACAGCATGTGAACTTTTTGGGGTAGACCAGCATGTGGACTAAGGCTTGCATTTTCTTGTTATGTACATGCACATAAATGCATCTCTGTGTGAACGCAAATCCATGATAATCTGATTAAACTTAAAACCACTGTAAGTCTAGTATGGTTTTTCTTGGCTTATGAACAAGCTTTTGGCTTCATTTGAAGGAGACATTTTCTCTACATTCTGATACCCAATAACTTTGAAGTTAGCAAAATCAAGCATCGGCAAATATCAGAAAAGTTCCAGAAGCCAATTGGTCCCACTGATAAAGTCTTTAGCATTAAAATTCTCCTAGATGTCACCTCATTTTGGATGGTTTCATGGAGATATTCTGAAGTTCCATGCTACCAGACCTAAAATGCAAGTGCAGACTGGCCATAAGGCTCAATTTGGGTGGATAAACTAGCAAGGGTTGAATCCCAGCTTCTCACATGATGGATGAAGTGGATGCTGTGCAGGAAATTACTATGTCATGTTATTTATAGATAAATCAATAATAACATGTAATGCATAGGATTTTACTAGGCCTTGTGAAGCTTGGCCTTCCTCTGCCACAGCCAGGCCTGGCTTTTGAATGGGCCTAGACTTGGCTCACTTCAATACCCAGAACTGGCCTGGCCCAGCTGTTCTGCACATTGTCATCCCCAATTTATCTAATATCCCTCAGGAACTATCAACCTTTGGCCTGTGTGGTTCTCAAGATTGATATCATAAGAATTATTGTAATTTATATATGAAATTGAACATGTATGCAGATTTCAATTTATGTGCATGCAACCCAGCAATATGCAAGAATATATACCATCGAGCAATGGCAACATTGCGTGTGAGAAGGGAGCCTCCACCATGACACGCTTCACATTTCATTAGCCCACGAGATCCACAAGTTACACAAGGAAGCTTTCCCTTGCCATTGCACTTCATACATCTGCAGAAATACAAAGGTGCAAAGTGAATGCCAAATAACTACATGAGCTTCAGAATGCCTGCTATGCACTTTTTGTCTAGTGGTACCTCAAAATGGTAGCTTAGGAGCTATAACTTTTCTCCTGGATCATAGATCCATTAAAAAGTGAATAAAAAAAAAAAGAAAAAAGAAGTGGGAAAAACGTACATAGTATCAGATCCATCTCTGTGTGCTATCAAACCTCTACTATAACAAGCAGGGCACTGAGTCATTTGGTTTTCCTTGTAAAATCCAGGTTCTTGGTCAGCATTACATGTAGGACATGGATACTGTCCTCGTCCCCCACAACCTGAAAGTGCATTTTTTGGCATAAGTTTAGAGTTTGAACAATATCTGCTACTGCCATTAAGACACAAATGAGAATAGCATGATTTATCATGCCAACAAAGAACAACAATGTACTAATTGCATAAGACAACAGAAAGTAGCAATAACAAGGATGGTGATTGTTCTTCTAAAAGAAGAAAAGATAATAACATGAAGGAAGATTTCATTTTTCGAACCTTGCAATAAATGCACAGACCATTAAAACATCTGGGAGATCCTACCAGAGACTAAACTGATTAGATATACCAGTGATCTGATCTATTAACTTGTTTCCGATCCACACATAATATGTTTTTAAGAGACATATTGCATTAACTTTTAGCCTAATAGATTTTTCTGGATGTCCTACCAAATAGTGAGCCTTGACTAACCTGAACATGCAGCTAGAGTATGTTAGCTTTTACAAGCTAATCTTGAATGATCATTTCAGAGAATATGAAACGATAAAGGAAACAAAAGGAGTAGGCACAGCCGCAAAGGTAACTCTTATATTCAGCATGTGGACATTCTAGCTTCTGACCATCGCATCAACTATTACAGAATCTTACCTGGGCAGTTCTTAATAGCTTCTGAATGAGGAATTCTGGTCCGTGTTTCTTTCTGTGGTACAAAGAGAAGAGGGAATTCAGACCTGAGGTCCAATTCCCATATTCCAAGTTCAGGTTCTTTGTCTTTCCCATCAATTTTACCACCAAAATATGGTTCCTTTTCTGTCATAGTTTCCCTTTCTTCAATAAATGTTTCCAGAGTTCCCACATAAACATTACAGTCTTCCACTGCATGTAACTTCCAGGTCCGAGCTGGACGACTTCCCCAACAGCAACGATGACCAACATGATCGATGAGCAACTCCCGTATCTCTACTTCATCCAGGATTTGCCTGACATTCCAGATATAATTGACATATTACATGTTATCCAAAAATACCCAAACATGAATTGAATTGTGAACATTGCTAGGATGATGAACCAATCACTTTTTTCATTTTAAAATTTCTCTGCCTACAGGAAGATTGGGACTAATACTGCAAGTTCATTTAAGTTATGGATTTGAAACCAATTTCACAGACATAGTTTTCCAGCCTTACCTCCCAATGGTGTTTCCACCTGGACCTTGTCCAAATCTACCCTGATAAACAACAACTTGCTCTGCAACAAAAGGTTACTAGGTGAAGCATACTATTAGACAAAGAACACATGATAAATTTATGTTACCTAAGTATTATATCAATAATAGAGATTGTATTATTTATCTTTCTCTAGTCAAAGCAAATTTCCACTTTGAAACATGTAAGATCCTAGTCTTGAAACTCACTAGTTCATGACAGGCTCAAGAAAATCAGCTGTCATAAAATTCTCTTTTATATAAAGTTTCAAAAGTCCACAATCAAGTTGGGCACATAAATAGAAAGATTCAGATGCATCACAATCAAGTTTTTGCAATAGCAAGTTCAAATAACTTTGTGTCCTAATGCTGTAGATTACACAGGCCATCTACATTTACAATTCAACTTATTTGATGAACATGCTATGGAGAGCAAGTTCTTGGGTTCACGTTCACTAAAGAAGTGGCTTAACATCTCATCATCCTGCCCCATGCCCCTCTCCCCCCTCCTCCAAGAAAAAAAAAAGGAAAGCAAAGAAAAGATAATAGCAAAAGCAACCAAAGAAAAAAGCAACAAATCTACAATTTAGAACAATGTTATCTTCAGTAGGCATCCAGAGTATCTCCAATCTAGCAATTTATGACTGAACTTAAATGGAGAACACATGCACATCAGAATCCGGCATTCCTCACATTCTTGAAGGACAGCTCTACATAACATTTCCTTTTTATTTCCTAGTTTATGTGACATAAATTAACAACTAATGTGCAAGATGAATGCCAATTTTCCCATCAAATGTTAGTCTCAATTCCTGTGTCTGTTTCCAAGCAACACTGCTACTAATCTATTGCAACAACCACTTCACTTGCATATGGTATCAAACATTAAACATTTATAAATTTTCGATCAATCTCAAAACTTTTTCCCATGGGACCATTGCTTGGTGTGAACCGTGAAGGTAAAAATCTTGAGCTGACAAGCATTAGAAAGTGGTTCTAGTTTGAGAGCAGCCACTTTGTTCAAAAAATGCTGATTAGGTCTATGTCCAGCCCATCCCTCCCAAGAACCCCAAAAGCCACGACCAGCATTGAATAGTGGCCATTTTTTTTTCAAATATAGCTTTCTTCCCTTGCATTTTTCTGCGCCTATAAGCCAGTCCATTGAGAAGCAGAAACTTTTTAAGTTAAAAGGAGCAAAATTATGGGAGAATTTCAATTTCCGAATTGGCAATGTTGTCACTATATTGGGTGCTATTGCAAATTCCCGTGAAATATATGGTAATATGTCCAAAAGCAAATTGCAATTTATAGAATTCCTCACTTTTTCTCTTTCAAAGAAAGAAGCAGTATTTGGAGTTGCCTCTACTTTTTCAATTGATACTTAGCGAAAATAGAAAAAAAAAATGCAGAAGCCTACACCTGTCTAGATGCAAATGAAACTGTTAGGTGAAACTAACAAGGAATTAATGCTCAAAAGAGAGCGGATTGACATGGGGCTTGATTCAGTCTACTGAAAGCATCGCACAATAATTAAGAAACTGGAAATGAAGAAGAATTTAAATGCAATCCTAAAGGGAGGAGGGAAAAAAATTCAAGTTCACCGGAATCAATCGGAAAACTAGTAAAAATGCTCCCCCATATTTGAATACCTAAATTCAACGGAGTGAATTGGGAAGATGAGGACATAACTAGGAGTAATTTGGCAGAAAACGTGGATGTTGATAGAGCGCAATGCGGAGCAGGATTCGTGAAGCCGACATCAAATAGTTAGGGATTAAGGGAGAGTTGAGTTGAGAAGATAATTAGGAGTCCGCATATGCGGCAACCATGGTCAACGTACCACTAGGCACGGGTTCGGGTGAACTGATCAAGGCAGCATGGATAGGTGGATAATAATCGGAAGATGCTGCCGCCGATCGAATTTCATCGATGTTAATTTCCGTTCCGGCCAACGAAGCGGTTGGGAACACGGAACCAGTTCTGCCCACGTACTCGTACGAACTCCATTTTTCCCTCTTTTTCTCTTCAACTTCGCCTTAACAAAAAGTAAAAAGGAGTGGGATTAGTAATCACTATAAACTCCTACAGAGTAAACGAATAAAAAACGAAATGATCAATCAAGAATTCACCTGAGAGCAGAGGCTCTTCCATTTTCTTCAAATCAAGACTGAGAGAGGAAAGAGAGAGAGTTATAAGAGGAGCTTCTCTTCGCCTGTAAGGAAGCTAAAAACAGTAGGATAAACACGGTTGCCTGGAAATCAAAGACGGGGGTCCACACGATATCAGTCATCAATTGGAGTTTTCTACTGGGTTAGATGAAGGATTTGTCTACTCGCTTTCATTGCTTGCAGTTGCGGTTTTTATTATTATTAATTATCATAATTTAGACAAGTCTTCCTAACGCACCCTGTCAGTGCCAGCTAATACCCGACGGATGAAATTTGCCTTTGCCAATTGGGTTAGAGCAAATTGGATGGGAGAACACTAAAGCGAGAAATTCCGCAGAAAACTTGATGCGAGCAAGCAAACGGAGCCATGAGCAATAAGCTTTGAAGACAACCAGAAGAACCAAAGATGGAAGCAATGATATTAGCAATCCTTCATTCCGTCTTTCATTGAAAACCTTGAATTGTAATGTCGACCCCGCGCCCCTTTCCCGACCCCAATATTTTGCTTTGTAGTAGATTATTGAATTACTCAACTTAAAATCTGAGTTAAATGGTATTGAAGTAAATAGCTAACAATCCGGTACCTGCCGTTAACGGATCGTCAACCAGCGCCGTGATACTATGTACGGATTGAATCTATATCTATACTACGAGCGAATGCCCTTTTTTTATTGTAATTTTAATCTACTTTCATTTTAGAAACTGTTCACTTATAATTATTCAGAAATTGTTCATAAATTATAAATAGTTTTGTTTGGGTCGTGGTTGAGCTGGCCTTGGATGCCACGTGGCCGCCTAGTCATTGCCCAGTCACCTCGGCCACATCAGCGCCATTATACTATCTCCACAGCATACACCGACTTCACGGCCACGATCGCGCTACGCTACTTCTGTAATCCCCACCTTATCCTTTCAGCCACGTTGATTCCACATCATGCGGATAAGTACGACCAAGAACAGGAGAGGATGGGACAACTCCATTGGGGATTAGGATTCTATCCCAAAGACCTTGGCAGTTAACCTCATCCTGGCAACCCCGGAAGCCTAATCCAATCAGGACACAGACCTTCGCCTATAAAAAAGGTGTCTCCCGCTCAAGGTAAGGGATTCGAACTTCTAGCAGCCATATTGTTACTTTGCTTAGACCAGCACTCTCATTGCTCAGCCCGACCACCCACCACTTTCTACTGACTTGAGCATTGGAGTGCCTACCCAGGGATAACTACTCAGGCATCTAACATCTTTCTTGATCACAGATCTTAGAGCACGGCTTTGTCCTTCCACCTCGGCTCCGCCCTGTTGGCAAGGACTATCTGACTACAACCTCAATTCGTGCACCACCTCGGATCAAGCAACATCAAGTTTTATGTTAGAGATATTGCCACGTGCAAATGCACGTACATGTTTACTAGTAATTAGAAAATGTCACAATTATCTTTTGATAGTTTTCAAACCATTTTACCCTTTCTTTTTAAACAAATAAGAGAAGGGAAAAAGGCTTTTTCCTAGGGGTGCTTAACCGAATCGTGAGCTTATTTTTTAAACCAAACTGGGGTTACCAGTAGTTGAAATCAAACTGAAGCCAATCAAATAACCGGTTGACTGATTTGCTTAACCATCGGTTCAGTTCACCGGGTTTTTATTATTTGCAATATATTATAAAAATATATAAATATATAATAAAACACTAGAAGTATATATAAAATATTATATTATATATTATAAATATATATTTATATATAATGCATATTTATTAATTTATAATGCATAGAAAATATAAAATATATATAATATACATAAAAATACATAAAATATATGTATATCGGTCAGTTCAATTAATCGTCAATTTTCTATTTTGGTTAACTAAAACCAAACCGCTACCTTTGTTTTTTTTAAAATATCGAACCGACCAATTCGATCAACCAAATTTTTTATTTGGTTTTGGTCGGTTCGGTTTTTTGGTTTTTCTTGCTCACCCCTACTCTTTCCTCTTCAATCTTGAGTAGGGTTTATTCAAGCCAAATACTTGTCTATCCGAGTTGAGCACGCCGAAATTGTGTTAAGCCCAAGCTTGATTTGAACTATAGATTTGAGTTCGAGCTCGGCTCAGTTCAAAGCTCGCAATTCAAGCTCGACTACAAGCCAAGTTTTTTTTCTAAAAAAAGAATTATACATATAAAATATTTTTTATTTTATATAAAAAATAAGAATTATAAAAATTATTTACTATTATACATAAAAATAAAAATATTATATATAAAATATCATTTTATATATAAAATAAAAATTATTTATTATATATATTTATATATGTATATGTATGTATATGTGAGTGTGTGTATATGTATATATATATATATATATAAATTATTTATTATATATTTATTATATATATTTATATATGTATATGTATGTATGTATGTATGTATGTATGTATGTATGTATGTATGTATGTATGTATGTATGTATGTATGTATGTATGTATGTATGTATGCATATAATAAAAAAATATATTGTGCTCGATACAAGCCGAGATTCACTAGGCGTGAGCTCGGCTAGATTAACAAACAAACCTATATATTAGGCTCGAGCTCGGCTCAAAACTTGATTTAAATTGAGCCAAACTCGAATAGCTCATGAAAAGTTCGACTTATGGCCACTCATGAATCAATTTTTGGGCTAAGTACCTCGTCATTCAGTTTGCTTCCAAGTGGTTGATGACTCAGAGGCCAAAGTGGAGAATGTTGCTGGGTGAGGACCTGAATGCCGAGCTTACTAGACCGAGCTGGGAGTGGACCAGGTGTCGAGCTGACCAGGCCGAGCTGGGAGCTGGCTAGGTGTCGAGCTAACCAGAGGGTCGAGCTGCATGTTAGGTGCCAAGCTGGGTTGATTGTTGAGCTTCATAATTCTTTAGAGACCTGCAAGGAATCAATGTCTGAGGACCTGGGGTGGCTAACCCGGTGAGGTCGCTCCAATGCTTAAGTCAGTACTCTCATAGTAGACTGTAAGCTAAAAATCATAAAGTATGAGAGCTAGAATATGCTTACTTACCCCCCTCCATGTCATTGGGGTTGGTGCCTTCATATAGGCATTGTTTGGCATGGGCTTCACGCACCATATTCGAGATTTCTGAGAGGTCGCCTAAGTGGTCCGAGATTCCCGGAGGCAACCACCATGCACGTTGACCATCCTCCGGAATGTTCGATACGTGGGCCAACTTCCAAGGATCGTGGGAGTGTTGGGATATGCGTGCCGAATTTGTCGGCGAGCACATCTCGCAGGTCGCCACCTGGACCTCAATCAGGCCGGCACGCCCTCGAGGGAGGTCGCTCCTTGCGTCGAGGTCACTTAGGCCAATGACGAGGTGCTGCAAGTCAGCCCTAGACGAGGTGCTTCTATCCAACCTGACCTGTGGTTAAGGTCACTAGTTCAGCATAAAAGCCAGGTCGCCAGGTCGGCGCATGTGCCAGGTCGCCAAGTCGACGCCTGTGCCAGGTCGCAAATTCGGGACACCATCATCTTGGCTAAGTTGTTTCCTAAGTGGTTATGGGTGTCACCTAGTTGTTCCGAGATGCCACATGTCACAATGTCATTGGAGGGCCAAATCCGCCCTCATTAATTGCCCCCCACTCCCGAGCTGAAAATAACTCGGCGAAGGAAGTAGATTGCTCCTTTTGGCCTGGAATGACTAATTCGATGAGCTCGTAAGCATCGATCCAATTTGCTTCTCAAATCGGAAGAGTCCAAGTGTTTGTATTCTTGGGCTCTGGGAGCGACTCGTAGTCCACTCTCCTTACCCTTAATTTTTCCCATGTCGAAGAGGCGATTGGGTCTTATGTAGCGCCGAGGTCTTTTATCAGCTCGATACTTTAGCCCTTGGACTCTGGGAGCAACTTGCAGTCCACTCTCCTTACCCTTGATTTTGCCCATGCCGAAGAGGCGACTGGGTCTTATGTGGTGCCGAGGTCTTTTATCAGTTTGACACTTTAGAGTTACGGCTGCGTTGCATCAGCCTTGTTAGTGACGCCGGTCACCCACTCCTACAAAAAGCTACTGGGAGCTCGACTTACGGGGGCAACACTACTGACTTTAGGTCACCAGATCGCATGGGAGCCCTTGAAGGCTCGACCGGCAAGGGCGTCCATGCAGTCCATTGGCTGCCAACTCCCGCAGAAGACACGAAGAGCTCATCTTGTAGAGGGAACCTCGCGAATAGGACTAATGAGGCTTTATCCAAGTTGAAATAAAGTTGGCAGAGCTGCTTAGTCTGTTGGCCATCAACTTCCTGCTTAGTCTTTGAATTCATAAAAAATGGAAATTAGAAAGTGAAAGCTTTAGTTTCTAAAAGGTGAGAACTTAACTTTTTGGAAGAAGAGGACTTAGCCTTTCAGAAGATGAGAACTTAGCTTTTTATAGCGTTTCCCACAGACGTCGCCAATTGATGAATCAATTTTTGGGCTAAGTACCTCGTTATTCGGTCTGCTTCCAAGTGGTCGATGACTCAGAGACCGAAGTGGAGAATTTTGCTGGGTGAGGACCTGGATGTCGAGCTGACTAGGTCGAGCTGGGAGTGGACCAGGTGCCGAGCTGACCAGGCCGAGTTGGGGACTGGCTAAGTGTCGAGCTTACCAGAGGGCCGAGCTTCATGTTAGGTGTCGAGCTGACTAGGTCAAACTGGGAGTGGACTAGGTGCCGAGCTGACCAAGCCGAGTTGCACGTTAGGTGCCGAGCTGGGTTGATTGTTGAGCTTCGTAATTCTTTAGAGACCTGCAAGGAATCAATGTCAAAGGACCCAAGGTGGCTAACCCAGCGAGGTCGCTCTCATGCTTAAGTCAATACTCTCATAGTATACTACGAGCTAAAAATCATAAAGTATGAGAGCTAGAATATGCTTACTTGCCCCCCCCATGTCATTAGGGTTGGTGCCTTTATATAGGCGTTGTTTGGTGTGGGCTTCACGCACCGTATCCGAGATTTCCGAGAGGTCGCCTAAGTGGTCCGAGATTCTCGGAGGCAACCGCCATGCACGTTGACCATCCTCTGGAACGTTTGATACATGGGCCAACTTCCAAGGATCGTAGGAGTGTTGGGATATGCGTGCCAAATTTGTCGGCAAGCACATCTCGCAGGTCGCCACCTGGACCTCAATCAGACCGGCACGCCCTCGAGGGAGGTCGCTCCTTGCGTCGAGGTCACTTCGGCCAGTGACGAGGTGCTGCAGGTCAGCCCTGGACGAGGTGCTTCTATCCGACCTGAGTTGTGGTTGAGGTCGCTAGTTCAGCATAAAAGCCAGGTTGCCAAGTCGGCATCAGTGCCAGGTCGGTGCTTGTGCCAAGTCGCCAATTCGGCGCCTGTGCCAAGTCGCCAAGTCGGCACCTGTGCCAGGTCGCCAGTTCGGGACACCATCATCTTGGCTAAGTTGTTGCCTAAGTGGTTCTGGGTGTCACCCAATTGTTCCAAGATGCCACGTATCACAATGTCATTGGAGGGCCAAATCCGCCCTCATCAG